CTACAACAGTGAATCAGAAGTTAGTTATGCATTCTTTCTGTAATTCAGAATTGAAAACAGCCAGAAAACAAGCTTCCCAGCCAGGTGGGTGACTGACAGGGATATGAGGAAATTTAATACTGGACAGACTTGGAGAGATCTAGACTGGAGTTGGTAGAAACAAGCCAATACCACTGGGCTCACAGCAGGATGGCATGTGGTAGTAACAGGAAATACACGGGAAAAAGAACTGGCATAGACAGATACAGGCTGAACTCAGCTGCTCTAGGAGCTATATGGTATCCTGGCACTCAACATAAAGGAATGGGATGCCAGGCGCCCTCCAATAAACCACTAGAAAACTGGAAGTGGCACTGTGGCTCAAGTGGTAGAGCTCCCGCCTGAGCTGAAGAGCACAAGGACAGTGCCCAAGCCGAGTTCAAACCCCACGACCGACCAAAAAAAAAAAAAAAAGGGATGGGATATTTCTTCCAAGGACCATTTGGATATTTACAATGTCATTATTGAGCCACATAAAATGACCAATACAGGTTGCAGGCAGCCAACAAGAAGCACTCAAGAAATATGCCATTTCTGGCTCATCATCTACCAAATGGTTTCAGCAGCTTTTATGGCTCACCATTTGGATATCCTTCATCTAGCTCCTGAGGAGGCTGAAACGGGGAAGACCACAGTTGGGAGGCCAGTTAAGGCAAAAAAGTTTGAGACCCCCCTTCTTCAACAGAGGTGTACATCTTTTATCTTAGCTATGTGGGAGACTGAGGAAGAATCCTGGTTCCAGCCCAGGAAGACTGCATTCCAGTGGAAAGAAAATGGGGTGTGTCTAACATTCTAAGAAGTGAAAAGCATTAAGTTTGAAGTTCAGGGAGGAAAACACTACCTAAAAAATAACCAGCATAAAAAAAAGGCCTGGAGAAAGAGCTGGGGGCATGACTCAGTAGACTTGTCTGCATAGCAAAGACAAGGCCAAGTTCAAACCTGTCCTCATCATGGAGCAAGAACATAAAGACTGGGTCAGGACCTCACCTGGTCATGAGAGGATCTGCTGTGCCCCTTAGCCAACAGTTTGTTGCCCTGACCTCTGTGTGGGCTTCATGGGATAACCTGGGATCCAGATGCTCAGCAGAACTCAAGCCAGCTGAGTTTTGGAGATTGGTCAAGTTAACGTTCAGTTTGCTGATCAAGCAAACGCTAGCCAAGGGAACTTTGGCTCTTAGAGAACCAAAACACCAAACGCTATTCCTGGCCAGGTGCCAGTGGCTCATGGTTATGATCCTACTCAGTAAACGGAGATCTCAGGATCACAGTACCAAGCCAGCCCAGGCAGGAAAGCCTGTAAGACGCTTGTCTCAAACTAAGCACCAAAAAGCCAGAAATGGACTTGTGGCTCAAGTAGTGGAGTGTAGCCTTGAGGGGAGTGGAGGGAAGGCTCAAGGAAGCACCTAAACCCTAAGTTGGAATCTTAGGACCAGCACAAAAAAGAAAATGTAAAAAAAGGGGAAGAGTTTAGATGAACAGATATAAAAGGAAACATACACAGACGAAAATGTCATAATAATTCACAGCAAGCTGGTGGCTCACGCCTGTAATCCTAGCTACTCAGAAGGCTGAAATCTGAGGATCATGGTTCAAACCAGCCCCAGCAGCAAAGTCCGTGAAGCTCTTATCTACAATAAGCCAGTCAGAAAACCGAAGTGGCACTGTGGCTCAAGCTCCTCAGCCTTGAGCTGAAGAGCTGAGGGACAGCGCCCAGGCCCAGAGTTCAAGCCCCATGACCAACAAAAAACAACAAAAAAAGATGAGAAAGTCACAATAAAACACACTATACTGTACAATTAAAAATGCTAATAAAAAATGTTTTAAGCTGAGCACCGGTGGCTCAAGCCGTATTCAGTAGGCTGAGATCTGGGGATCATGGTTTGAATTCAGTCTGGGCAAGCCTTTTACCTCCAATCAACTATTCAGGAAGAGCTGGAAGTGGCACTGTGGCTGGCTCCAGTGGTAGAGTGCTAGCCTTGAGCACAAAGAGGTTCGGGACAGTGCCCAGGCCCCAAGTTCAAGCCTCAGAACTGGGAAAAAAAAAAGTTTTAAAAAGCAGAAATAAAATGTACTTACAATCCTAAGACATAAAGCTTAATTGAAGCAGATATGAAGATTACCAGGCATGCCCAAATACATTATCACTTTGATAAAGGTTATTTATTACAATACTGATACAATTCTTAAGTTATAAAGCTTATAAAGGCTAAAAATATTCAAAGAATGTTTAAGAACTGATTAAGGCATTAATGAAAACAGTGTTAGCCCTTGGGAACAGAACCAACCTCCAAACAACAGTTGATTACTTAAGGTCCATTCCTAGGAACAGTTTTATGGTTGAAGGTAAGAAAATACTTATACAGGACAGGTAAAGCACAGATACATTTATTACCAAAATTAATGAACCACCATCCATTACCACATAACCCAGTTTTCTTTAAGTTTGGTGAGAGTAAATCTTATCCCTAGGTAGAAGTGAGAATTAGTTGAAAATCTTCAAATTATTTTGAGGACTTTGGTTCTTAAAGAACTTTGGTACAAAACCAAAGGCTGGAATTTGCCCAGGCCCTCCTCCAAATAATTTAAATCAAGATCTCCACACATACCAAGATAGAAAACCACATAAGTAACTTGTTTTTCCCTACTAAGTAAAGTCTGAAAGAGAAATCTAATACTGTAATACTTCCATTTAAACAAACCTACTACAAGCACAAATTTAATATGTAGCCAAGAAAAGGGGAAAAGAACCATCTGTGTAAGGGTAGGGAGTTAAGTAGAAAGGATGAAAGGTGGGTCAATACTCAACAGTTTCAACAAAAGTAGTTCTGGCGTGGTGCTGTACAGTAGGGTAACTAAAGATAGCAATAACGTACTATACATTTCAAGCCAGAAGGACTTTTAAGTTTTTACCATAGACGACAATGCTCAATAAAATCGTTGGTTAACCTGGTTTAAACATTACACAATATATGCACCAAAACAGTATAGTACCTTATTAATCTGTACATTTTGCCATTATTACCAGTTAAAAAATTTTAAAATGACATAATTCTTAAAAATCTTGTTTGGCAATCTGAGGATGGAGATTTGAAGCCAGCCTGCATGGGAAAGGCCATTATCTCCAATTAACCACCAGAAAGCCAGAAATGGAGATATGGCTCAAGTGGTAGAGCAAGCGCTAGGCTTGAGCAAAAAAAGATCACTAACTGCACAGGCTGAGTTCAAGCCTTAAGACCACTATACACATAAAAAGTTTGCTGAAGATAACCCAAGCAAAAAGCGTATCATTTTGCAAATTCATTGTTTCAAGCAAGCTTCTGCGAACACTCAGTATTCAGAACACCCAGTCTTTGTTCTATGGTACTGGAGATAAAACCCAGGGACATTTGTGTTAGGCAAGTGCTTTATTGGTGAGCTATACAACTAGCTCACAACACTATTCTTGACAAACTTTGGGTCTTTGAGAAGTTTTTGTATTTCTGAGTGGTACTGGAGTTTGAACTCAAAGCTTTATACTTGAACTATCCTGTAATACTTGATCCATGCCAGGAAAGTTTTTTTTTGGGGGGGGGGGGCCCGGTTGTGGGGCCTGAACTCTGGGCCTGGGTGCTGTCCCTCAGCTCTTCAGCTCAAGGCTAGCGCTCTACCACTTGAGCCACAGCGCCACTTCCGGCTTTCTTTTTGCTATGTGGTGCTGAGGATTGAACCCAGGGCCTCAGGCATGCAAGGCAAGCCCTCTACCACTGAGCCACCTTCCCAGTCCGAAAATTTTGTTTGTTTTTGTTTGGTTTGGTTCTGGCTTGAACTCTGGGTATCCCTCAGCTCTTCAGCTGAAGGTGAGCACTCTACCACTTAAGCCACAGTGCCACTTCGGTTTTCTGGTCATTTACTGGAGATAAGAGTCTCACGGACTTTCCTGCCCGGGCTGGCTTTGAACTGCAATCCTCAGATCTCAGCCTCCTGAGTAGCCAGGATTACAGGCATGAGCCACTGGCACCCAGCTCCAGGAAAGTTTTTAAATTGTGTGTGTGTGTGTGTACTGGGACCCAAACTCAACACCGGATGATTTTGCTCACTGGCTCTACCAACTGAGCCATGCCTCCAACCCCACTTTCAACCAATTAAATGTTTCCCCCCCCCCCAGTGGTAGGGACTCCACCAAAGACCTTTCACATGCTAGACCAATGCTGAACGGTCGATCTACTTCCTCTAGCCCAGCTTTAAAAAGATTGTAAAAATCTTTTTTGGGAAATTATCATCACCCAACTTAATGATTGGTCCCTATCTAACTATAGTTAAGTTTCAGAAGAAAGCACTACACTTACCAACACATTTTCCTTCTTCTCATAAGCAGGTATGGCACTAGCTTTCTACTTTGAAATGGAAAAACCCAGTTATTCTAACTGGGCAACTCTTCAAGAACCAAGCAATTTTTGCCATAAGCCCCATATTCTGCTAACCAAGATATATTGCTAATCAAGATTTTTAGAAAATATAAATTCTTTTAAAGTTAATTGTTACCACAGGACCTGAAAAATAGCTGCTAGGTGTCTACATCACCTACATGTTACTCAGTCAAGAAAAAAGGATTTAACAAAGTAGAGAAGGGAAAGGAAGGAAAGAGAGGGAAAAATGCAAAGTTATTATTATTATTTTTTTACCAAAAGGCTTTTGTAAAGGTCAGAGACCAGGATTTGAACTTGGTACCTGCCCCTTCACCCATTGCCTAGCACTCTGCCAACTGAGCCATGCCTTCAAACTCTACAAAGGACTTTTTGATTTGGACAATTAACTTCATAAGCCAACAGATAAAAGTATTAAATGAGATCAGAGGAGAGAGAATAAAGTGGACAGTAAAGAAAATTTACTCCAACTATGAATACACACTTCAAAATTGTGTATATATTTCATTTGAGCTTAAGGGAAATGTAATTTCTGTTAGTTTCAAACTTAACACAGTACAAAGTGAGGAAACATTTATTTATCACACCCACACAGTAATGGTTAAGCATCCTGAAGTGAACCCAGGTAGCTTAATATATCAAATATTAATTCCCACAGAACTATCAACTTTTAATCCTATTCAGAGGATAAGAGAGAAATTCACTGGACGTTGAGCACTCATTCAAGTGCCACTTTTGTCTTCAGACAACACACTAAGCCATGATCCAACAAGTTTTCTATGTGGTTTCATTAATTACCACTTAAAGAACTTAACAGAGACTAATGCTGTTAACAGCTTTCTTACTGAGATAAATTTAACCCTAAGATCCCGTCTCAACAGGTAATGTACAAATATTTGTTAAGAGCTTACCAATCTGTCAATCATTTTAAAGAATTCATGTAACATACATAGCAATATATTTATAACCAGAAACTGTACTAAGTAGACACATCATTTGTCAAGCTCTATCTGAAACATGCCATTTTAAACAGAACCCTAAAAACTTAACTCGCAAGTCATATGGTTTAACATTAAGTCTTACTGAAGCAGCACAGATATCCTTTCTTACAGACAAAAGCATACCACCAATCTCACAAATCATATTATGCTTTAACAAACAAATCCTCAAGGTCTTCTGAAGAATGCCAGAGGTCATGTAGTGGCCTTGATCTTTATTTTTCTTTACCTAGAATTCTACAAATTCCGTATTATCAATTGATTTTTTTTTTTTTCAAAAACAGCACCAGTCTTGCCCACTGATACAATTAAAATTTGACTTTCTCAGTTCTTAGTTCACAAGTTTATTATGAAAAACACTGCAGTGCTCTTGTGCAGTTACATCTTACAGGAGGGGGAAACAGCTGTTTAAAACAACTCACCAGGTTCTGACAGTAACAAAGAACAACATGGGGGCTGAGATTTGAGAAGGGAATAAACTGAGTGCAGACAAATCATACAATTAAATTAAATGGTATCCCTGAAAATAAACAAAACAATTTCAAAACTCACAAGTAAAGGGGGAGGCCTTGGTACTTATTTTTAAAAATGTTCATTAAGCTCCAATGATTGTTTGCTGCTATCCTTATCTACAGTCATGCTGAGTAAAGCTATAGCTAAATGGAAGTTAAACTGTATTCACGAGGTGTTAATGTTTACATCTTATTATCTGCAGTCTCTCAGAGAAAGCAAAAGTAACTACAAATAGCTCTATGCCAGAAACTGGTTTCTTGACCAACAATGTCGCTTCAGCATGCAATGAACTGGTTCATTCTAAAGTGGTCACGGCTGTTGATGACAAGAAGCTTTGTATTTTTATATGGCACATCTTTTGGTCCGTGTGAAAACAAGTTTTTTTGAATGTTAACTATTTTCTGACACTTTGGAGTTACTGTTGCTCTTCCCATTTCCATTAGGTCAATATATGGTTCATGGCAATACTGTACAAGTTTAAAATTTCATTACAGGAAGTAGTCTGGGGTACGACGAGTCACATGTGGCTCGCCTCTACGAGGTGCTGGATCAAACTGCAAGCTGAAAAAGAAGAAAAGATTCACTATTTTCATTCCTGAACACGCTCATATCAACAATCACAAAAACAAGACCTTCAGTCTTTCCAATTTCCAACTTCACACATCTTTTCCAGTTAATAAGGTTTTTTTGTTGTTGTTGTTTTTCTATTAGAATCATAGCAACTTCCGTCAGAAAAGCTATGCTTTATATAATGCAGTACTTCTAAAGTCATGTAAATTTTAAAGTATGACTATGGTACATGGGTGTAACCCCAGTTTCCACATAGGAATATGTAGGTAGACTGTAGGCCCTAACTGAAAACAAAGCATAAAGGGCTGGAATGGGATTCAACTGTTCTAATGTTTATCTTACACGTTCAAGGACCTGAATTCAAAATCCTAGTATTGATTGCAATCCTGTTTACTTGGCAATCAAACATGGGGAGGATTAAAACTTGAGGTCAGTCCAGTGGAGGAAAAAATTCACCCAACTCACTCAACTCATCCAATAGCTGGACAAAGTAGTGTGTACCTGTCACCCCAGTTACTCAGGAGGCTAAGATCAGAAGGACTGTGGTCCAGATCAGATCAGACAAAAAATGTTCACAAGACTTCCATTTCCAACAGAAAAGAATAAGCATGGTGATCTGCCACGTATTATTCTAGCTACGGTGGGAAGCATAAAACAGGATTGCAGTCCAGGCACAGGCCTGGGCCCAGATAAAAAACTGAGACTCAGCCAGGTGCTGGTAGCTCACACCTGTAATCCTAGATAATCAGTAGGAGATCTAAGGATTGAAGTTCAAAGCCAGCACAGGCAGGAGAGTCTGTGCGACTGTTATCTTCAGTAAATGACTCAGAAAAAGCCAGAAGTAGTGATGTGGTTCAAGTAATAGAGTGCTAGCCTTGTAATAGGCACAGCGCTGAGACCCTGAGTTTAGGCCCCAAGACTAGCAAAAGCAAAACAAACAGCTGCTCATGCAGTAGTTCTTGCCTACCAAGCACAAAGCTGAGTTCAAACCCCAAACTACCAAAAAAGAAAATACACACATGGAACAACTATATATGCTCACGTGTACACACACAACCCTCTTGCCCGTGTGTCTTAACTACATTAACAATGGAGAACCTGCAAGGTGCAATGGCTCACATCTGTAATCCTAGCTAGTTGGGAAATAAGAGATTTGAAGGATCATGGTTCAAGGCCAGCCAGACAAAAAGTTCTCAAGACTCCATAAATAACTAAGCCTAATGGTGTATGTCTGTCATTATAGCTATGCAAGAAACCAAAAATAGGAAAAAAATTGTGGTTCAGGGACATGTTGGGGGGGAAAAATGGGGGTAAGGGTAGGAGAAATGGCCTATTTCTTTTTTTTCTTTTCTCTCTCTCTCTTTTTTTTTTTTTGCCAGTCTTGGAAACTGAGCTCAGGGCCTGGGCACTGTCCCGGAGACACTTTGTGGTCAAGGCTAGTGCTCTACCACTTGAGCCAGCACCACTTCCAGCTTTTTCTGTGTATGCAGTACCGAGGAATCAAACCCAGGGAATGATGAAGCTCTTGCCTGGCAAATACCAGTCCCAGAGATCAAACTTTAGGACCACACAAACATACAAAGCCCATACCTAATAAACATTAGGGTATACAAGGTAAGTTATATTTTTATCAATGTGTTTCAACACAGCATAGAGACATTTCAAAAGAAATGTAATAAAAATTAAAGTCAGAATCTGATTTAGCAGGAGCTTATAAACAAGCACATCTCCATCAGAACAAAGTTGCACAAAGGTGGCAACTAAATGCTCAAATGTGAATACTTACAAAGAATATTTTAGAGTGTCATCAAGCTCCATGATTGCAGCTTGATTACCACAACGATAACAATAGTTAGGAGCGCTGAAAATCGTTACTACATTCCGGTCATGGCACCAGTTATATCCCTACAAAGAAAAGAAATAAAAACTTATTCTCTCTTTTACATAAGTAAATATGAATCCACTCAAGACAGAAATAATAATTACAACTTCCAAGTAAGTATTCCTACTCTTTGAACATTAAAATACACACGCATTTACTTTCTCACAAATATAAAATTTGGATATTTTTAGTCCAGAATGGGGACTTGGATTTAGTACCTAATACTCTCACTCACTGGCTAGCATTTTACCAAGTGAGCCAAGCATCTGATCCCCGAGTTGTTTTTTTACTTAAACTACAACAACCTTAGCCACATGTGTGGTACACATCAATTTAGTTCCTTCCAGTTACATGAGAGGCTCTAGTTAGAAGATTATGGTCCAAGGCCAGTGCTAGGGGGGGAAAAAAAAGAAGAAAAAAAGACCCTCTCTAAGGAAAGGAACAAAAAAAGGCCTGACCACTAATTACCAAAGAATTCAGGGTTTCTTATAAAGATTGTCAGTGTCTCATCATTTTATCATTGGCATGATCTAAACATGATAGACTAGTTTTCTGACTATTCTTTGTAGAAGCAAATACACACTGCTATACTTTGAATGCTGACTGACCACCCTCAATGCTCTTGTATTAAAACACTGTTCCCAGTGTAGCACTGCAGGTGAGAGGCCCTTAAGGAACTGAGGGAGCATCCTTGGAGAGGACAATGGGCCAGTTTCTTCTCCTTTGGCTTATTGGCTTGAGATGTGACCACTTACTCTGACACATGTTCCTGCCATGATATGATGCTCTAATGAGAAGCCTAAACTAATGGGGCCACCAAATCTCTATCACTTGCAAGCTAAAATAAAACTCTGAATTTTACAATTAGCCCAAGCGAGGTATTTTGTTGTGCTGATAAAAGCTGACTAACACACAAACTTCTAGAGAGCAGAATCCTATTAGTTTTCTTCTCAGTCTTAGGGGAAGGGCCTCTAAGCTGCTTCTAGGATATGTTTTCCTAGGATCCCTTGTTTCATACCCTGAAAGTCCAGCTGAACACGACATACTTTAGCTACTTTTTGTATTTAGTATTATTCACCAACTTCTTCCCTTAACCTTAGGAAAGTCAGATTTTATTGACAACAATCATAAAGTTCTACTGATTAAATAGGATCCTAGTGCTAAAATATGCTGAGATTAGCCAAGAACCTTAGGCCTGTTTCCCTCTAATTTCTTCTTCTCAATCACCTGTAGTCCTATCGCTTCAACATTTTCATGTTTCCCCAGTCTCTCTTACATATACACACTTGCTAAACACATAAATAAAAACAAGATCATAAAACATTTTACTGGGCTGGGAATGTGGCTTAGTGGTAGAATGCTTGTCTAGCATGCACAAAGCCCTGGGTTTGATTCCTTATAAATAGAAAAAGCTACAAGTAGCGCAGTGGTTCAAGTGGTGTGCTAGCCTTGAGCAAAAAAGGCTCCGGGTCCAGGCACTCCTGGCCATGCATAATCCTAGCTACTGAGGATTGTGGTTCAAAGCCAGCCCAGGAAACTCATCTCCAATAAACCACCAGAAAACTAGAAGTGGCGCCGTGGCTCAAGTGGTAGAGTACTCGCCTTGAGCTGAAGAGCTGAGGGACAGTGCCCAGGCCAAAAGTTCAAGCCCCACAATTGACGAGAAAAAAAACGAACAAAAAAAAGCTCTCCAGGACCATGCCCAGGTTCTGAGTTCAAGTCCCAGGACTGGCAAAATAAACAAACTAAATTTAGTTATCAACAGTATCTCAATTTTAAAAAACTCTAGTGTAATGGCGGGCACTGGCAAGAGGCTGAGATCTGAGGATCATGGTTTGAAGCTACCCTGGCAAGAAAGTGTGTGAAACTCTTTTCTCCATTTAAACATCAGAAAACCAAATGTGGGGGGCTGGGAAGGTGGCTCAGTGGTAGAGCGTTTGCCTTGCATGCCTGAGGCCCTGGATTCGATTCCTCAGCACCACATAAGAAAAAAGCCGGAAGTGGCGCTGTGGCTCAAATGGTAGAGCACTAGCCTTGAGCTGAAGAGCTGAGGGACAGCGCCCAGGCCGAGTTCAGGCCCCACGACCAGATCCCCCCAAAAAAACAAACAAACAAAAAAAAAACAAATGTGGTGCTGTGGCTCAAAGTGGTAGAGAACCAGCCTTGAGCAAAAGCGCTTAGGGACAGTACGTAGGCCCTGAGTTCAAGTCCCACAACCATCTCTCTCCCCCACCAAAAATTCTAGTGGGCATATCCTCAAGACTCAGACTAAATGGCAAATTACACAGAATTCCTTTTAGTTATGAAAAGGTAAATTATGTTTCAGAGAACAGAACATACCTCCATTACCAACTGATGAGCTCTAGACACCAATGTGAGGCCATTTGCATGATTAAATGTCTCAGAAATATCCTGACCAAAGGTATAACCAGCTCCTCGAGGAGATATACCCCAACCACCACGATCATCTGGATCTGACCACAACAAGTCACACATCGGACCCTAAAAATCAAGTACAAATTATAAACTGCTCTTTACAAAAATGGTAAATTCATTATTTGAGTAACTTATCACTAGCAGTATTCTACTAAGTTACTTATGGAGTGGTGTTGGCTGAAAAGAGCAGATTTTGTCTAAAATGTCCTTCTTGAAGGAGAGCATTTTCCAAGTCTTTATACGGCACCACTAACAGAAGTGGTGAGGCCCGCAGCAACATCCCCTCATCTGCCTATAGTATGCAAATTCAACATAGGCAATAGGGGCCGGTGGCTAAGACAGAATTTCTTAAGATGGAAAATGTACATTCTAGTAAAGTTCAATCTCAAAGCTGTTTTGATACTGGAAGTTTTCTAAGCTGCTTCTAAACAGTGAGGTTAGTAAGCATGCACAGACTTTACAGGGTTGAGAATTAAAAATGTATATACAATGAACTGAGTGACATTTAAATTTTTCTTTTTTCCTAGAAAGTTTTCTGAGAAGTAATTTATTACCAAATAACAAACATACCTCATGGGGAACTTCCTGTAGGCGATCAAGTGCTCTGATGTGATCCAGTGTATCTATGGATGGTGAAAGACCACCATGTAGACAAAAGATCTGAAAAGATTGGTTTAAAATGTTAAGTTTGGCTTGGCACCAGTGGCTCAGGCCTGTAATCCTAGCTACTCAGGAGGCTGAGGTCTGAGGATCACGATTCAAAGCCAGTGCGGGCAGGAAAGTGCATGAGAGTCTTGTTTCCTATAAACAACCAGAAAACCGGAAGTGGTGTTGTAACTCAAGTGGTAGAGCACTTAGCCTTGAGCTGAAGAGCTCAGGGACAGCACCCAGGCCCAGGGTTCAAGTCAAAAAAGAAGAAAAATAATTTTTAAGTTTGGGCTGGGAATGTGGATTAGTGGTAGAGTGCTTGTCTAGCATACATAAAGCCCTGGGTAGATACAACAATACCACATGTGCTCAAATGATAGAATACTACCCTTGAACAAAAGAAGCTCAAGGGACAGTGCTCTGGGCCTGAGTTCAAAGCTCAGGACTGACAAAATAAATAGATAAATAGTTAAGTTCACGGAATGTGGCTCAGTAGTAGAGTACTTGCCTTGCATGTATGAAGCCCTGGGTTCCTCAGCACCACATAAGCAAAAAAAGCCTGAAGTGGCGTGGCTCAAGTGGTAGAGTGCTAGCCTTGAGCTGAAGAGCTAAGGCACAGTGCCCAACCCCAGAGTTCAGGCTCCATGACCCCATGACTGACCCCTCCCTCAAAGAATAACAAAAGTTTAAATGAATGCTATCAAGCCAGGAAAAATGATAGGACCCCTATAATGTCAGCTACTCCTAAGGCAAATGCAGAAGTAGAATTGTGTGAGGCCAACAATGGTCAAAGTTAGCAAGTCTATCTCAAAAACAAAACAAAGAGCGGGCACCAGTGGCTCACACCTGTAATTCTAACTACTCAGGAGGCTGAGATCTGAGGATCACGGTTCAAAGCCAGCCAGGGCAGGAAAGTCTGTGAGACTCTTTATCTCCAATTAACCACCAGAAAACTGGAAGTGGTGTGGTAGCTCAAGTGGTAGAGCGCTTGCCTTGAAGAATTTAGGGACAGTGCCCAGGCCCAGAGTTCAAGCCCCATGACTGACCCCTCCCCTAAAAAGCCATTTACTGGTGGCTCAAATGGTATGCTTGCCTAGCAAATCCAAGGCTTTGGGTTCAATCCTCAGTTTTAAGGCAAAATAAGTAAACACAAATGTTGTCACTATAGAAAATAAATCCCTAAAAGGATGTGAGGATGGAAAGAAACCATATTCCTAAAGATAATCAGTAATATTTTAAGGAGTACAAACCTGCCCATCCACCAAGGCAGTGAGAGGAAGATAGTCAAAAAGATCTGTAAAGTATTTCCAAACATTTGCATTTCCATATTTCCTTAAACACTCATCATAGAAACCATAAACTTGTGTGATCTGTCTGCTCTCATGATTCCCTCGAAGAATGGTGATGCGTTCACGATAACGAACCTAAAACAAAACAGTAAACATAAAACAAGTTCTTTAAATCACTTTCTCACCTTACAATGAAATGAAATCACAGATTTTAAAAAATTGTTACCATAAACATGATGAAGAGAAGTGTTACCATTTTTTAAGTCAGAAAATGAGTATATTTCTTTTTGGACAATGTCACTCTTCCCTTCACTCTCTCCCAGTTGAAATCACAGATGTTGAAACATTTTCAGTACTCTTTAGGTGTCCGGCAACCCTATCTCAATAAAAATCAAACGTATGCTACCACCAACTTTATACCAAGTGTTATGAGATTTTTACAACTTCGTAATAAATACAATTAGGATCAAGATTATAATAATAATTATTAGTTGTTGTTGTTTTTTTGCCAGTCCTGGGGCTTGAGCTCAGGGCTTGGGCACTGTCCCTGAGCTCTTGTGCCAAGGCTAGCACTCTATCACTTGAGCCACTGGAAGCATCACTTCCAGCCTTTTCTGTTTATGTGGTACTGAGGAATTGAACCCAGGGCTTCACGCATGCTAGGCAAGCACTCTCCCACTAAGCTACATTCCCAGCCCAGAATCAAGATTTTTAATGAACTTCAAATTACGCAACAATCCTCACAACCCAATTTTAGAACGTTCCCATTACCTCAAAAAGATCCCTTTGCTGGGTGTTAGTGGCTCACGTCTGTTATCCTACCTACTCAGGCTGAGAACTAAGGATCGCCGTTCAAAGCCAGCCCGGGCAAAAAAATCCCTGTGAGACTCCAAATAACCATTCAAAACCAGAGGTGGCATTATGGCTCAAAGTGTACAGCACTAGCCTTGAGCAAAAGCTCAGGGACAGTGCCTTGACTCTAAGCCCCAGGACTGACTCAAAAGCAAAAAAGTATCTTTGAGTTGAAGACCTGGCTCAGATACTGAGTTTGATTCTCAGTCTTGGAGATGGGGGGAGGGGAGGAAGAAGAGGGTGGAAAAAAAGATCCCTTACGCCTGACTGCACCCTACTCCTACTCTCTCAATCCTGGCTCTTGGCAACCACTGATTTACTTTCTGTCTCCTGAGATTGCCTTTTCTAGAAATTTCATAGAAATAGAAATGGAGATACCAAATGTAGCCTTTTGTGTAAGTATCACTTGGAGTATTTTTAAAAGCTCACTTGTTGTACATGCAGATAATAGTTGTTCCTTTTCTTAGATGCACACTATCTTTTCTATGTGTGTTAGTCCTAGGGCTTGAGTGCTATCCCTATACTTATTTTTTTCCCCCTCGAGGCTAGTACTCTACCACTCGAGCCACAGCTCCATGTCTGACTTTTTGGTGGTTAACTGGAGGTAAGTCTTATGGACTTAACTTCCCCAGGGTAGTCTCAAACTGTGATCCTCACTCTTAGCCTCTAGTGTAGCTAGGACTACAGGTGTGGGCCACTAGCACGTGGTTAAGCTGCATACTATCTTACTGTGGCTATAGGACATTTCATCATTGCTCTACTCATAGGATGAATAGGATAACTGTTGCTTGCTAAGATCATTTGCATGTGGAGTTATATATATGCTTTCATTTCTCTCGGGCAGATTTCCTAGGCATATATTTAATTGTCCCAAGAAACTATCCAAGTTTTTCAAAGTGGCTGGACCATTTCACATTCCGACCAGCAATGCATGAGGATAAACGCTGAACACTTACCCACACTTGGTATCAGCTTTATGCTGTATTAGTCATCCTAATAGATGTGAAGTGGTTCTCTGTAATTTTAATTTGCTTTTTCCTAATGACTAATGACGTCAGTATCCTTTCCAGTGACTGATTCTGTATCTTCTTTGTCCACTTTTTTTTTTTTCATGCTAGTCTTGGGGTTTGAACTCAAGGCCTGGATGATGTCCTTGAACTTTTTTGCTCAAGGCTATGCTCTAACCCACTTGAGCCATAGCTCTACTTCTGGCATTATGGTATTTGATTCAATGTAAGAGTCTCAAAGCCTTTCTTGCTCCAGCTGGCTTCAAACAGCAACCCTTAGATATCAGCTTCCTGAGTAGCTAGGATTACAGGTATGAGCCACCAGCAGCCAGCTGCATTTCTTCCACTTAAATTATCTGTCTCAGCCAAGCACAGTGCCTTGTGCCTGTAATCCTAACTACTCAGGAGGCTGGGATGTGAGGATCAAGGTTTGAGGCCAGCCAGGGAAGTCCATGAGATTCTTATTTCCAATTTCTCCAATAATCACCAAAAAGCCTGAAGTAGGGCTGTGGCTTAAGTGGTAGAGGGCTAGCCTTGAGCAAAAATAAAAGTTCAGCCCAGGCCCAGTTCAAGCCCCAGGACCAGCATGTACACATATGCACCACACCAAAAAAGATGAAATCCAATGTTCTTTTATTTATGAATCATTTTTCTTAACACCTCCAAGGTTCTAAATATTTTCTTTTAGAAGTTACGACTTTTTGCTGTCTGATCCAGGTATACTATTCAGACACCATTTGTGATAGGGCTATCATTTCCCTACAATATCACTGCTAAGGGAATAAGGGAGAAGTATTTTTCCACACAGTTCTGGAGGCAGAAGTCAAAGATCAAATTATCAGCAGTTTAGTGTCTTCTCTCTCACCCTGCCACCCATCTTTTTTTTTTTTTTTTTTTAATATTTTTAGTTTTATTATCCCCTACCATCCCACCCATCTTTTTGAGTAGCTAGCATTAAAGGCGTGAGGCACCCAGCTTCCATCACTTTTTGAGGTACTGGGAGTTAGCTATGAGGCATTCCGTCTACCACATTCTCCTGCATGAATTTTTAACGGTAACACATCCATTTCTCTTCTGTGGTCTAGGATTGACCCTGTGACTGACATAAGCTACTTTCATAGAATCTACAGTCACAATAGAAACCTTCCACTATCTAACCAAATTAAGATGATGGAAGGTTTACAAAGTTTTCATTTTGCAAATGCAGAATGTGACCTCCAAAATGTTTGCAGCATTTTACAAAACTCAGCTACAAGCACCTAAAATTCAGTTCTCGATGAAACCATGTCTCACTGCTTCTAATATTAGAAAAGTCTGTGACAGCAGCAACCTTATCATTCTGTAATAAGGCTGCCTATGAGAAGTGGGGGGAAAAAACTCCCCAAAAGGGAAAGTAAAAATTTTCATAAGCGAATGGCAAAAGCATTTTATCCTAAAGAGCAGTAACATTTTGTGCTTACAATCAGATCTCTACCTATATACTTGACAAAGCTGTAACTGGTTCACATAAGGTTTTGCAAGCTGTTCCTTCATTTATCTTATTTTCCTTCTTTTAGCTGACTTTTCTTTTTTCACTTAGAGACAGCTATGCAGCTCAGGCTGACTTTGCACTTGATCTTTCTGTCCCAGCTTCCTTCTTAGTACTAGGTGTATTATCACTACACTGGCTTTACCACTAATGTTCTAAATTATTAGGTAATCTTTAATGGCTTTAAACTATTCTGCTTGGATAAAACCTAACTTAAACTTTTTCTGATACTCAAGATAATACTATGATAATGTATTTTCACTCAAAAAGGCTTCTCTTTCCAAATTATTTCTCAGCCTTATGGCTTGAGAGGATTTAAATATTTCAATATTTGATGTTTGTGTTTTTTTTAACATTTCTAAAGTCTCAAGCAATGTAACCATAATTCCACTTTACAGTCAATTTACTAAAACTAAAATTTCTATTTGAGAGCTAATAATCTGAGATATTCCTTCTTAAAAAAATTCTGAGCCATCCCCTCCCAAGAAGATGACCACAATTGTTAAGCCCAAAGTTTGAGTTCCTAAGATGGAGAATTTAACATCTGTATGAAGAAAATCACAAGTCACTGATGGGGGGGAAAATCCTACAACAATATTCAATCAAAGTCTTACACTGTTCAAAAATCCCAGAACTGGAAAGCATAAAAGTGAAATTACCTTAAGAGCTACAAGCAGTGTGACTGTTTCAACTGAATAATATCCTCTGTCAACATAATCACCCATAAACAAGTAATTTGTATCTGGTGATTTTCCACCAATTCTAAACAGTTCCATGAGATCGTGAAATTGCCCGTGCACATCTCCACAGACAGTGACTGGACATCGAACCTCTTGTACATTGGATTCCTTTGTCAGAATTTCTTTAGCCTACAGATGGAGAAAACAAATAAGTAAATACATACATACATTTGGTATTAAACAACAATAGCAAAAATATGTTTACTTACAACATACATTAAGGGGCATACCTGTCATAAGTAAAATGATAGACATTTATTATGATATTAAATGTAATATATGGCTAGGTGCTTTCCAGTGGCTATTCTATCCTTGTTAGACCAAGAGAAAATGTGTCTCAAGGTACAAAGCCTCATTTCTATCACCAATATTAGGAGCCTATAAAGCCAATCAAATTGCCATCTAATTAAAATACTAAGGAGCTCATTATCATCCATATAAGAACAATAAAAATACAGTAGATAGAGATGTACAGATACCTATTTCCCTCATCCGTAAAATTTTAACTATTTATTCCAGGTTTCCAAGGCACTGAGGTTTCTTGTTCTTTTTTATGAAAAACATTAAATTTTGTCTGTTTCTCTGATTTTTATACACCTTATACAAGCTGCTTCTTTCATAACTGGATTATCTAAGTACATTTTTTTAATGTAGCATATGCGTTCTCTCACATAATCACAAGTTCATTCATTCATTCAATAAACATTTACTGATCCTTTATTATATGCTAGAAAAAGTACAGTATACCCAGAGATGATTTCTTTCTCTTATTACTTGAATGACTACTTGCCCAGACTATGGAAGCCACTGGACATATACAGATCACTCTAACTGCCATAGAGTAGAGAAATGCCACAAACAACCAAGCAACAACATACAGACTATGCTGAGTGTCATGAAGGAAAGAGGCTAATATGGGAATATTGCCATAGGGAAATACTGCTAATGAGCCAGCCCTCATGACTACTATTTCTCTTTGTAACATTGGTGGCATTCAACCTATAGCCTCACACCTGCTAGGTAAGCACCCTACCACTGAGCTACATATACTCCTAGCCCCTGCTAAATACACTGTGTGACAACCAAGGATCACAAGTTTAAAGCAGAGATAGGCAACTACAGCTGCAGATTAAAAATCTCAATATTCATGTTCCTCCAACTAGATTGCTCATTGGAATCTAAATATCACTAATTTAAGCCATTCCCCGTCACTAAAAATATAACACAAAATATAACTTTATTTTTGTTGGTCAAGGAGCTTGAACTCAGGGCCTAGGGCACTTGTCCCCGAGCTCTTTTGCTCAAGACTAGAGCTCTACCAGTTCAAGCCACAGTGGCACTTCCAGTTTTCTGGGTTCATTGGAGATAAGAGTCTCATGCACTTTCCTGCCTAAGCTGGGCTGGCTCTGAACCACAAACCTCAGATCTCAGCTTCCTGAGTAGTTACAAATGAAAACTTTAGTTTATATTGTTTCCTATTCTCCAAACATTTTTAGGAAGCCTACTTCGAAATAGTCACTAAAAATGACTGGAGCACTTTGCAGGGCTGTGGTACAAACAAGATATTCCATGGCTGTTACATGCTGGAATCATGTATTTCTGTGGAAGAGTCTATCTCAGTGTGCGCACCTTAGACTACAGCACCAGAAGTGTTCTTGGAGACAAAGCTGTGTCCCAATTACTCTGGATAAGGGCAGAAATGGTTCACATTTCATTATTTGTAATGTTACCTGCTGTTTGCTCTCATTATTTTTGCTACACATTTTATTTGTATTTAAATGTTTTAGGCAACCTACAAACAAATGTAAAAGTAAAGATGCAGTGAAAATGAAGAAAAAAAATCGCCAACCATCCCAAAATTTGATCTAACATTTCAAAGTTTAGGAAAAATTTATACATTTCAAAAAGATATTCCTAGGAAATAACTATTGTTAAATTATATATATATATATATTTTTTTTTTTAAATTGTGAAAATACTGTACAGAGGGGTTACAATTACATGGGCAAGATAATGAGTACATTTCTTTTTTTTTTGGGTCTGGTCATGGGGCCTGAACTCTGGGCCTAGGCACTGTCCCTCAGCTCTTCAGCTCAAGGATAGCACTCTACCACTTGAGCCACAGCACCACTTCCAGCTTTTTTCTTTTTGCTTATGTGGTGCTGAGGAATCGAACCCAGGGCTTCAGGCATGCAAGGCAAGCGCTTTAACCACTGAGCCACCTTCTCAGCCCCAATGAGTACATTTCTTATCAAGCACTGTAGCCTCCTCCTTTGTTTCCTCTTCCCATCCATTCCCGTCCTCCCCCCGCCTCCCCCAAATTGTATATTAAGAACATTTTCTCAAAGTAAAAAGCTTCTGCACAGCTAAAGAAATAGCAACCAAACTAGAAGGACAGCCAACTAATTGGGAAAAAATGTTTACCAGCAATATATCAGACAAGGGCCTAATATCCATTATATCCAGGGAACTCAAGAAACTAACCCCTCCCAAATCTAACAAACTAATCATTAAATGGACAAGGGAGCTAAAGAAGATTTCTCAGAAGAAGAGATAAAAATGGCAGAAAAAAAAAAAAAACCTGGACACCAATGGCTCAGGCCTGTAATCCTATAATCCTAGCTACTCGGGAGGCTGAGATCTGAGGATCATGGTTCAAAGACAGCCGGGGCAGGAAAGTCCATGAAACTCTTATCTTCAATAAACCACCAGAAAACGGGAAGTGGCACTGCAGCTCAAGTGGTAGAGCACTTGCCTTGAGCTGAAGAGCTGAGGAACAGTGCTCAGGCCCAGAGTTAAAGCCCCAAGACCGACAAAAAAAAAAAAAGGCAAAGAAACACATGAGAAAATGTTCATAATCCCTGGCTGTAAAGAAAATGCAAATAAAAACACTGAAATACTACCTTATCCCAGTCAGAATGGCCTACATCCTAAACTCAGCCAATGACAAATGCTGGAGGGGATGCTGAGAAAGGAAACCCTACTGCATTGATGTGAGAACGTACACTAATACAACCACTTTGGAAAGCAGTCTGGAGGTACCTCAGAAAGCTAAATATAGACCTCCCCTATCACCCAGACATACCACTCCTAGGCATCTACCCTAAGCAACAGGAACCAGGATACAAGGACACATGCAACCCTATGTTCACTGGAGCACTGTTCACAATAGCTAAGATGCTGGAAACAATCCAGATGTCCCACTACAAATGTATGGATCCAAAAACTCTGGTACCTATATACAATGGAATATTACATAGCCATTAGAAAGGACAAAATAATGGCATTTGCAGGGTAATGTATGGAACTAGAGCAAATCGTTTTGAGCTAGGTAAGCCAAGAGCAAAGAGACAAATGGCACATAGACTTCCTGATATGTGGATGCTAAAGCCAAAATGCAAGAAGATATGACAAAGTAAACAGGACTGGAGAAACAAAGCACTTCCACGCATTTTGTTGTATCACTGCTAAATAGACTCCATGTTCTTGACCACATATATGGTATCTATATGTGCGCAACTGGGGGAAGCTAGGAGGAGGACGCAGAATCAGAGGGAAACAGGAAAACATACAATAGAGGGGCCCACCAGCTGCACTGGACATTAATGAAAATGAACTAAGCAACTCAAAGGCAGTGGTGGCAGGGAGGGAAAGAGGGAACAGCTTACACTAAGCAAAAGGAAAGAAATGTAAATATCACCTGATGTAGAAGAAATAAGAGTATTGTCAAAGCTCATAGCATTCATAAATTTTATACACCATGATAATGACAATGTGCCTTGTGAAGGTTAAAATGTGTTTGTGACTTTTAACTAAGTTTCATTATCCTACAATACTGTGAAATATGTGAAATTTAGGTAACCACCTAATCCCAATAAAGATTTTTTTTAAAAAAGAACATTTTCTCTTGAAGATAATTTCAATTTTCCTAGGTTTATCCAGTTTTAAAAAGCAGACATTAGCTAGGCTCATGCATGTAAATCTTGGCTACCCAGGAGGCTGAGAACTGAAAATTACTGTTCATCCAGGCAAGAAAACCTTTGACAATTTTAAAAGCTGGGAATGGAGCTGTGGTTCAAGTGGTAGAGCACTAGCCTTGAGCACAAAAGCTCAAGTAGAGCTCTGAGTTCAAGGCCAAGGACTAGCAAATAAAAAGAAAAGCAAACATCATTAGGCCCATTACCAAGTTTCTCTGAAATTAACACATGAGGGGCTGGGAAGGTGGCTCAGTGGTAGAGCACTTGCCTTGCATGCCTGAGGCCCTGAGTTCGATTCCTCAGCATCCCATAAGCAAAAAGAAAAGCCAGAAGTGGCGCTGTGACTCAAGTGCTAAGAGTGCTAGCCTTGAGCTGAAGAGCTGAGGGACAGCGCCCAGGCCCAGAGTTCAGGCCCCACAACCGGACCTCCCCAAAAAATGAAATTAACACATGATTTTAACACCCAGTATATGCTAATGAATAGCTGTGAGCCAAGTGCTGACAGTTCATGCCTATAGTACTAGCTATTCTAGAAGATCAAAGTTCAAAGCCAACTTATGCAGAAAATTCACTACATTTAACATCTAATTTGATCAGAAACAAATTATCAAAGACCTTATCTGGACATGTTTACCTGCAAAGCTTTTTGTTTGTTTTGAGGCAGGGCAGGATCTCCCTGGGCACTAAATATGGACTGAACACTCTTAAAATAAAGGCAAGCTCATAAATCATCCATGCCAAGATTTTTAAGGGCAAAGTACATTATATATGCATATATGAAAGTATCACAATTAAAAAAAAAACCACACCTGCGGCTGGGAAGGTGGCTCAGTGGCAGAGCGCTTGCCTTGCATGCATGAGGCCCTGGGTTCGATTACTCAGCACCACATAAGCAAAAAGAAAAAAGCCGGAAGTGGCGCTGTGGCTCAAGTGGTAGAGCGCTAGCCTTGAGCTGAAGAGCTGAGGGACAGCGCCCAGGCCCAGAGTTCAAGCCCCACAACCGGACCAAAAAAAAACAAAAAAACCCACACCTGTGTACAATATATGGTAGAAAAAAAGTCTGGTAAGATTTTATCTCCAAAATAACTAGCCAAAAGTGAAACTAGAAGAATGGCTCAAGTGGTAGAGCACCAGCCCAGCAAGGAAGCTGAG